GTTGTTGTTCTTCTTCTTCTTCTTCTTCTTCTTCTTCTTCTTCTTCTTCTTCTTTCATTATTACTATTATTGCTATATTATTGTAATTATCAAAACACCTCTTTTAAAAGGTTCATTATGATTTGATTATTATTATCACTTGCCCAACTATAGTTCTTTGTTTCGTGCCTAGGTTTTATGCCTTCAGGCTGTCCAGAGGAGCAGGACCCAATCCCTCATTCCCTACTCCAAGCAAGGGGGTAAGCAAAATTTGGAGATAATTCCTTACTGTCCTGCATTGTTATGCACAAGAACATGCCAAATGTAGAGGCATTTTTCAACACTCCACTCTTAACATAGGTTAAAAAGCGTCTTTACCACAGGACCTCATATCACCCAAAAGTGGCCCCTTTCGAGGGCCGGTAGCCTGGATGTGCCTACAAGGTCAAGTTAGCTCCGAATGAAGGGAGGGCAAATTTTCATGGTCCAATTTTTTTCTGTTTTTTCTCTTTCGCCTCAAGAGAAGCAGAAGCAAGTAAAATGCAATAATTTAACGATTTTGATATTTGAACTTTCACTGCTGCATACTTCGCACTCTCTTTTTTATATTTGATCGGGAAAAGGTGTACAACAAAAGCTCTTTTCAGTATGTAAGTGGTCTGGCGCCTGCAAAACGGGCAGCTTCCATTCTATGCTTTCAAGAAAGTTGAGACTGTTTCAGAATACTGTCATGTCTGGTGGGGTAATAGAATATCATAGACTTAAAGAGCTCATAGAGTTTGCTATTGAGTAGTGGGAATTTGCTCCATACAAATGCAATTTATTTTTTAGGGATCGCGGTGAAATCAGACGCTAGTGATAATAATGAAATCAAAGAAATTGGCATTTTTGTGGCAGTTTAGCAATAATTTTTTTCTATACTTCTTTTCTTTTGGATCAACACCTTTTATGTAATGTTAAAACAATATTGCTGTGTGGAATTTATTGTTCAAAGGGCACAATTTAATGTAAATGTGCAGTGTCCAAAACGACTTAAGGTTCGGACGGCACTAAAGTTTGGCAGCCATTTGCTCGCTAATTTTACTTATGATACCATTCGACCCCCATCTCCTTCAGTGGCAAATATCTCGATTTCTCTTAAAGCAGAAGGGCACTTTTCTCACCATAAAGCAAGCCAGATGAGCAAACTTTAAGATGGAACCAATAATTCCATACGCCCAAAAATTGACGAGCGCCTGATTCCCCAATGTCGTGACACATTATTTATAATTTTTTCCTGAAACAATTTCTGTCTAGTTGTGAAGCTGTGTGTGCTTAACCCTTTTTGAGCCATACCGGCTAAAACCGGCCTTCCTGGATTGTTGCCATAGCGGCTTTTACCGGCCTGACCCACCCGCTTTTAGTACTGGCTTTGAAATTTGAACATTCCTCTCTAAATTTAAATAGTGACGCACTGGGTCGTTGTGTGTGAAACTTTAAGTGAAATACGTCGCTTAGATCAAAAGCAAAGGCAATTTTTTCCCCACACCCCCTGAACCTCTGAAAACTTCTGAAATAATTCGGTTCTGGGAAGCCATCAGCTCACCCGCATTTTGGTTCTGCTCTGCTGACCTGCTGATCTATTTATGGTGCTAAGAGGGTTAAATGGATTCCTTACTGTAATTTGTCTCTTTTCGTCCCGTTCTCGTGAAGGTGGAAGTTGAACGTGTAGCAATTTCCAAACTCATTACTGTAGGACCAGTAGAAGTCTTCAACGCCGCATTGGTTCTGTGTAAGCGAAAAATAGAATCAGTCAATCAATCAATCAATTGATGAATCGATGAATCAATGAATCGACAAGTACCACTTTATTGATCTTCCTGGTATATATATTTTACAATAGTTTCAAATGTTAATGAACATAATAATAGGACATACCTACATTAGTATTTAATCATTCCAACAAAAAAATGAATGAATGCTCCACTTTGATAATGTCTGTTGTGTAATTATGATTACAACATAAAGTTTAAGTCAGATCATCGTGTCTATTGATAAGTGGTTAGACACTTTGTCAGTCAGATGACCAGAGTTCAATTCCCGTGTGGAGATAATATTTATCAAGTGTCCCGGCCTTCCCGCTGTGACGTTATATCCCTCTCAGCCAAGGTTAGCCCTGGTGGGCAAGGTCGAAGCCCGTCTCCAGAATAATCTAAATTGCGTCGATGGGGGCGCACTCCTACAAGGATGGGGCATTCATTAACGGCAAATGAGATACCATGTTATTACAGACATTCTTACAAACATGCCCTTCATTCGTTACCTTAAAATTAGACATTTCTATTTATCAGTTTTTGGCGATTTGGAGTTACCAACTGTTCGATATCATCTATAAAGAGCGTGCAATTATTTGCAGTCCTTTTCAAGATATTAAAAGAATCGCATTCCGAAAAGCTTGACATGTTGTGAAACTCAAAATATTTTACGTCAAATTTCTGAAAACCAGGCACGAGCAAAATTATAGAACTTTGTAATTCTAAAGTAGATTCTAGCTCATTGCTGTGAGTCACTGAGCAGCGCCATGTTTTTGAGTTTGGGGCAATTATATTGCTCAAAGGGGCGCTGGTGACTACTCATCTAAATCATATTCACTAACAATAATTATTATTCCACTGAACGTTATTGTAAGTCTGAAGGTATGTGTGTGTGTGTGTGTGTGTGTGTGTGTGTGTGTGTGTGTGAGAGTGTGTGTGTATGTGTGTGTGAGTGTG